TATCATTGCAAACATAAATATAAATGGTTACATCTACACGTAGTTAGGCTTTAGTTAAACACGCATTCAGACTTTGTGGCAAATCTGTTCACTCACTGCATACACTGTACGTATATGTATTCATTTAAAAAGCATAAAAACTTAACAAGAGAATCCTTTCATTGCCTTGCTGTTGTGACTCATATAATTGTAATTTACTCTTTCATTAGCGTCTGATTGAAAGACTGATCTACATGTGGGACAGTTAACTGAAGTCTGTGATCACATGCATTTTAAAGTTAAAAATACCCATATTATCTTGGCTTGGTATTAGAGAGAGGGCTTATTATTTGAAGGGCCAGTGCTATTTGTAGTCTTTGAAATATTTACTTGTACTTATTAATACCAAATTGTACTTGTAATCATGTTATTATCCTTATTAATAAGTACCCCAAATTTCATAAGAAATCATGTTATTATTTATAAGTAATTCACAAGAAAAAGCATCACAGAAAGGCAAGACAGATAGAATTTCAACAGGGTGTGTGTGCTGTAATTTGTACTTGTGCTATAATTTTGCACTTGTGTTACATGAAAAATGCACTCATTTTCAACCTAAGGGAAATGCGTAATTTTTCATATATATTATTAGTGCATTAAAAGTATTTAACTTCTAATATTGTTTGTTGGATCCTGAGCAGTGTGATGTTCAAACAAAACCAAAGGTTTTCTATCAATTTTGAAATAGATAGACAATGCTGAAAACTATACAGTGTTAGCTTTTGGCATTATATAAATAGCTGAATTATGCCTGCTTTTTTTCGGTTGTTACTTATGATCTTTCAGAGGTTAGATGCAAAAATAATGTCATCATCGACAGTATCTTACTTCCTTATTAATATATAAAACAAATAGATTTAATTTTGCTGTGGGTCTGTTCAGCAGTAGATCACAGAAGACATAAAGAACATCAGTGACATACTCAGCTGCACCTCCTGTGCCACTTTTTTTGTGCTTACCGCATTTTACTGTATCTATTACAGAAAAAAATGCATGGCAAGTCTATTTTTAATCAGAATTGATCTTATGTCCTCTTAGCTGCATCTTGGATTAATAATTTAACCAGACAGAAAACCCTGAGCAGTAAATACTGAAGCTAACCTGCTTGAAGCACTCTTAAACAAACCTGTAGATGTAGGAGTAAGTGGTTGTATGTGCATGTAAGGCTAGGCAGAGGAGATGGAAAGTCATCAGTGTTAGCATTGTGTGCAAATGAATTGCAACTTTTTTATGGCTTTCTCTTTTCTATCTCTGTACTTGTAGACAAGACTGTGATATTTTTCTTACTCAGTTAAACTTCATTAAGGTGCTACAAAAGAGACCACAACTATGGAGTTTATTAACTTAAGGTGGGATGGGTACAATGTAATCAAACAATTTTCTTAGTGAGTGTGTAATGCTTGGGCCAACACAACAAGCTATTGTGATCTTGAGTTTACTTGCTCACAATTGTTTTCAAAGGTTGGTTCATGGCTCTGTGAAACACAAACTTCAGTGGAGTACTTCTCCTGATAACCTGCCATTTGATCCTGTGTTAATTACATTAGCAGAGGTGAGTGACAGCAATATTGTACAATTTTAGGCTCAAAAGACTCGCGAGGAAGTTACAGGAGAGAGATCAGAAAATTTTAGTTTTAGATTACTTAGTATTAGAAAAATATGAATTGTTTCACACCAGTATGCTACAGAATATTTTTTTTAGATGTGTACTCTTACAATTAATGTCAAAGCCTAAAGATACAATGCAAGGTTTTCTTTGAAAATGTAATAACAGGTTGTGTAGTGTACATGTGGTCTAGTGATGCATTAAACCCTTTGTAAAATGCAACTATCAGTCTTCCTTTCATTCAGTTGAACCTGGTTTGATTAAACATGTTTTGCTGGTGACTGAATAGGACAAAAATTATACTTGTATCTCAGTATTTCTTTTAGTGGACTTAGGTGATGGTTGATGTTTAGGTAGTGATCTTATGTGTTAACCAGGCTAAAACTTTTGTTTTTGTAGGGTCTCAGAGAGACAAAACATCCTTATACATTTGTTGCACGTGAAGGATTCAGAGAAATGCTTGAAATTGATGATGCTACATCTCGAACATTACCAATTCTACCAAAACTAATTGTACCTCTTAGAGCTGCTCTGGTAAGTTTATTTGAAAACTCTTCAAGATTAATAGTCACTTGTGCACTCTTTGATAGAGAAAGCTGAGAAGGTTGCTCATGTTTAACCATTAATTGTCATCTTCTAGAATAATTTTCTTATTTGAAAAAAGATGAAAATAAAAAAGGATGAGTCAAAAATATCAATGATGAAGGCTACATTGGCCTTTAAACATTGAAAACTCTGAACATGATTATATCATGCACCCAACAGGCTACCTTGTTCAATTTTTACAGTGCAACTTGAATGTGAAGTGAAAACCTGTAATTAGCTACATTGTGCTTGATCATTTTCACATGATGTCACAAACATTATGATAGCCATGCTGGCTACCAAAACAAAAGAATAATGGTCATGTTTTTGTCCAGGTCAGTCCTGTTGGATTTAAACTCTCTTCAGATGAAATCACTTTCTTTTGTTCCAATAAATTTACACATGATTGAAATCTTCCTAATTTATGATAGTTATCTTAATTCTGGTAAAAGTCAAGTCCTTGCCTCTAGCAATACATGTAAATATCAAAACAAATGACTTGACTTTTGTTTTTCTATCTAGGCTTCAAGTGACATGCAAGTTTTTCACAGTTCTTTGGAAGCTCTGGTACAGCTCAGTTCAGTTGTTGGTTTTGCCCTCAACCCTCATTTGAAGGCTCTTTTGCCACAGGTACACAACTACTGTAATATTCTATTTCTATTCTACCCCAAACCAACCACTCAGAGTTCTTAGGGGTAGGGTGTGTGTTGTGTTCCAGAGAGCGTATTTCTATCACTTGCCTTTTGAGGGGTCTGGAAGGGGAAGGGGTTTGGTCGTTGCAAGTTTACATTCAATTCTCTGACCCCCACTCTGTACATGTAAGTCCAGACTACTACTCTTTTTTTATCCTACTATTGGTTATCATCTGAGTGCTATAAATACACTCTGCTTGAGCATTAATCCTTTACACTTAAACAACAGTAGACATATTCTCCTATTCTCCATACTGTTCTCAATACATTTCCTAAGGTGCTGACAAGGAGAATTTGTTTAACAATCTAGAACTTCTATCATTGTTGATCACTTCCTTTTTCCTTGTGACCTTTATGTGTGATTTACCAGGGTAGGGGTGATATTGTTAGGAGAAATTAGATGCTGGTCACCCTTAGGTGTTAAAGGGTTAAACTGTGAAATAGTTACCAGGTTTCCTCACCTTTTCTGTACCTCATTGTTTCTTAGACAATGTAACACATACAGAAGCTTTAACTTGAAAAGCCTACCCTATTAGTCAAAGAATCCTTGACTGTGTAGTTTGCTTATTAGTCCATTATGCACTGTTCATATAGGCTGTGAATTTGATTTTTATTTTAAGTCTACTTCACAGAGTGTTTATTTTATTTTATTTTTTTGCTACTTTGCACAAGTACAGTTAGTAGTACATATGCGTTTGAAAAGGAAAAAGTTTGAAAGAAACAGTTCTCTAGAGCATTATTACAAGACCCTCATTGGGAAAACAAAACAACAGCTGAGGAGGTTTATAAATTTAATGCTAATGCTATTGCTAATGTTTTAAATTATTGTTTCAGGTGTCAAAACGTTTTATGGACAAAACTCAAAAAGAAATAATCCTGCATGCACTGCAGAGACTTGAACAGAACTTGGGAAAGGTATGTAGCAGTAACCTGTTTTATTTTTTTGCCATTTATCATCAAGCCCTAATGAAATGAACACCTTTTAGATTTTGTCATGAAAAACAAAGTTTATTGTCTCCTCTGTGATGAGGTTTTTTTTGTCTTCAATTTTTCTGGCTGACAAGGTAAAATTTTCTCTGCTACTGTAATTCAGAAAGTCAAGACCTACTGTCTATTAATTATTGTATTATTTTTCTCTATAGGAAAGTGTTCCAATCATCAAGTCAAAGATACCAACATATCAGTCGGTTTGTCTATAGCACTGGATTGACAAAGCATTGATAATTAAAAATGATGTTATTGAATAGATTACAGATAACAAAATAATATGTATTGATATTTTTGTAACCACAGAATGTTGTATGTCCCTGCTTCACAGAACTAGGTCTTGCTTTTATTTATTACTTTTGAGTGATTAAATAATGATTTTGATTATCAAGATTGAAACTGGGGTTGTCTGTGACAGCAACTGGTGAATTATCAGCCTTTGCCATTAACCTTTACCTTAAGCTGTTGTAAATAATTGAATGTAATATTTATTTAATGTGTTCTCAATCTGATGCCTGTTGTGCCCTGAACTGTGACCCTGGATCCATAGGGTCACTTTTAGCAAAGTTTCATGTTATGAACTCATTACTTCATGATAATTTTCCCATCTTGCTACATGACATGACTTTTCAAATTAGTTCCAAGAGTTCAGTGTTAGGTTGAGACACAAATTTGACAAGTTTGTCAGTTCTTATCAATGTTGGTTGGATAATGTACTGAAAAATTATAGAGAGGAGAGGAAATATACGTATGTTAATAACCTCAGGGAAGTGAGAAGTTAAAAATGAAACAACAGCCCTGGTGCATGCAGCAGATTAACTTTTTCATGATTGGTCAAGTCATGCCTGGCAGAGTAAAATATTTTTTTAATCAACAATGGCTGAAACATGATATTTTTTCAAAATTATTACAATATAATTTTACATTTTTTGGAAAAGAAGTTATAATGTTAAAGGACCCTAGACTTAAGGTTTTGCTCATAGGTTGTAAACAAGGTTTATGCATAAAAGAATGCTTACAAATGTTCTACGTACTGCTCTTGCGGTCACCAACTGAAGGAAATTACATGTGATGTCTGTTTCAAAAACTAATTTTTTTTCTTAATTAAGTTAATATGTTTTACTAATTTTAATGTAATATCAATAGTTAGTTGGAGTGCATAGGATTTACAAAAATCATCACAAAGTTTTTTTTTTGCATAGCAAATGGCTACTTAAGAAAAACATAGTGTAGTTGCTCAAAGATTTCTTTTGATTTCTATCATTGTAAATACCCTAGTTTAACCACTTTATAAATGTGTGTATAAAAGTGGATATGAGTGCTTGATAGGTGTGTAAAATTGGTGGAAGTATTGCATGAGTTTAAAAGATTCGGCTTGGCCGGGAAAAGCAATAAAATACTATCACACTTTTTATTTTCAGTTGTTGTTTCTTTTAAGTTGGTACAGCTCTGTGTGGAAAATCCAAACAGCCTTATAATGACTATCTAAGTATAGTGACAACATGGTCTTTAATCTCCAGAGGGTGGCATGGTTTTCGACAACTGTGACCCACCTTAAGTTTTTTGACAGAAAAAAAAACTAAAATCTGCACCATTTTTCTTAAGCCATACTTATCCTTTTGACACATAAACTCATGTTTCACTGGATACAAACGTTTACAGATGTTTTCTCTTCAACTGGTGTGTTTAGACACATAACAAGTATTCTTTGAGTTTTGAATCCTTTCTGAGACTCAGATATCTGCACTTGTAGCAGGCCACATTGCCCAATCACCCTTGATAGAAGGGACATCCTCAAGCCACCACTGACCTTCCAACTTTGTTCCCTTTATTTCACCTTCATAATACACATTGTGACTATTGTATGCCTTGCGGAATGTTACTTTGCCATCTGAAAGTAAAATTTGGAGAAGCCTTTTTTTAAACCTCACCAGTAACCACAGTAATAGAAAATTATTGCTAGTTCCAGTGACATTTGCAGGTAAACTTATTCCAGATAACAATAATGAAAAGTTCACCTCTGACTGGAATCGAAAGGAAGTCACATGGTACTGTTATCATTGACTCTTTCCTCTGAGAATTGACAAGTGGGCAGGAGGAAGGGGAAAGAACTTAAAAGTTACAGCTCTTGACTATGGTAAATTTTCAATTTCCATATTTCAAACTTCTATGTTAAAAGAAAGAATTTTAATTAGTTTTGGGTTGTACACCACAGTTCCAATCTTTACCTTGTTATATCTGTTTTTTGCTGCTGAATTTTGCAATATCAAAATAAGTTTTCAAGTCACTATGTACATTGTAAGGGATGATTCAGTTTTCAAACACCACAACCCTTTTCCATGAATTCCTTTGAAGCTGAGTCTCTTTATTTCATATTGTACTTTAATTTGTGCACAAAAATACCATGGAGATTACCTGATGAAACAGTGCAGAATTCCACACAAGAGTCCATGTTAATACATAACTTTTGACTTGAGTCTCCTTCTGTGAGATATGGTCGGGCAAGGGTGAGGATTGGGGTTATTACAATACCTTGCACAAGATTACAGTCACACACAATACAGGATCATGGGTAGGTAAGGAGACCTGATATCTTTATTTAAGATCAGTAAAGGAAGATTTTGAGCTATGTATTTTAATTATTCTAGATCAAACTGACTGAAATAATTCTTCTACCTACCTGTTATTTTTCCATCCTCAAAATTGAAGTCACCAACCTCATCACTCCCAGTTGCAGTGAATTGGTGGTTATTCCCAAAAGCCATGTTGATGTCCATGTACCACTTGTTGTTGGCTGGCCCTCCAGCAGAATACCTATTGTCTACAAAGTAACCTTTCCATTTACCTGTAAAACATCAAGACAGCTAGTCAATCAAGAGCAGAGAGCATTCCTTCAAGAACCAAGGAAGGTAAGGAGGGAGGGAGGGGGGGGGTGGTGGTGAAGGCTTTGGGATTGATATATAGCATGTACACTGTCACCCTATCCTTACACGATTGCTCAGGCAGGCATGCAAATCCCAGACATATGAGAAGGAAATCGCATTGACGCATATATACCTAAACGATGGTATTCCCTATTTGTTTGCGTTACTCACAATGGGACAACTTCCGTGTTGCGTGACGAAATTAACACGCTCTGAAGTTAGCATCTAAGTTTGTAATGCGACAGAACGCGAATTATGTATTTCTCTATTGGAGAAAAGATCACCTACACAGGTAAATAACATGAAGATAAGGCTCTCACTTTCAATTTCCTCTTCGCTTTCTTCGACGTCAGCGATTATGCTGCTTAAAATAATTAGTCAAACCGTGAACTTAAAAAGATAGTAGGTTTAGAGGCTTCGAATCACAATGCACCATAATGCCGACATGTTTTTTGCTATGATTAATATAATAAAATTAAAAAAGATCAAACCATGTTTTCCAGAGATGTAAAACACAAATTAGAGTTGAACTTGTTTTGTTTACATGCTTCGACCACAAAAATACATACCACTAATGAAGAACTGAATTGTCATCTTTCAATCTTCACAAGTGGTTATTTCTTCGAATTTCTTCTCCTTGTCTGCGTCGCCAAATTAGGAAAATGCAGACGTGAAATCGTTGATTTACGATGGTATCTTTAATTACGATCGCATGGACTTCCTCTCTAGCAGGAAGGTTAAAATGTTAAACCGTTCCAGGACTAGATCCTGGCTGCGCGGTCAATCAAATTGATTCGGGGGATTGGAATAGAGTGCTGCAAGGGCCAAGGAAGCTCTGGGGCTTTACCTTGTCGTCATAGTTACTCGTACGTTTCCTATTGGAGAAAGTGAAAGCCAAAATTTTGATCATTTCTCAACGAAGTCACTTCTATTTATATCTGATGTGACGGATGGGTAGAAGTAATTTCTAATAAATTTATTTCTAGTTTTGGTATAGTGACGAAATAGTCCTATAAAAGCCTAACGTTCAGCCACATTTGTCATACTGGTTTTTAAGAAATACTGGTGGCACCAGCTTTTCGAACGTACGTCGGTTAAAGTGGGTTAAAACTTTTAAAAAACCACGCAATATTAAAGAGTTAAAATGCAGACAGTAACTGCAGTAGAAATAGAGAACACTCCACCGACGTCAGGGGTCTCTTGTCAGAAACGCAATTTTTGTCCTGGAAACAAAAAAATGTGATGTGTGATGATTTATTTTGTTTGTTTGTTTTTTTGGGTTTTTTTTTAGCTTTATTAGCCATGTGTGCGTTCCTTTACTCCAAGCATTTTTATGAACAATGTAAAGTAACCATGGAGAACGATTGAAAAATTCCCTTAGAAGTCCTCATTACTAATTTATACCATTTGAATTCACTTATGAACAAACTCCTGATTTAACTTTTTCCGTCTCTGCTTGGTTTCTAACATTCCGTTTAAATATCGTCGAGGAGAGAGTCTACTGGAGTTTTGCCCAAATTTCGCTGTCTCTCTCTCTTTCTTTCGTCTCTGCTTTCGTCTCTGCTTGGTTTCTAACCGTTCCGTTTAAATATCGTCGAGGAGAGAGCCTACTGGAGTTTTGCCCAAATTTCGCTGTCTCTCATTCTTTCTTTCGGCTGTCGAACACGGACAGGGCCATGGGAACTAAGTGAGGAAAGGATGAGTGGAGCAGCTTTTTTCCAAGTGTTCTTTTAAACAACTACAGAATCCTGATGATACTATAAAAGAATGTCAGTGCCTTCAGCAAGTTGGAAAGTGGCAAAATACAACAGCTCCTTCCAGTGAATAAAAGAAAACAGATCTAGAGTTAGGGAGTTCTAGTAAATGACTGAAAAATAATCTTTAAGCGAAATGGCTTTAAGTTTAATTCATCTAAGTTCAAGTTGATGCCTCTAAAATTAAAAAGAAGCTTGCAACTCCCAGTTGCATTTCACCAAGTTCATAATCAACCTTCAGCTTGAAAACCCAATTCGCTTTTAAGTGGAACTTAATAGGCCGAAGAGCTCGGTGTCCATCATTTTAAATCCGCCTTTTAAAGTCATAAAACTAATTTGAATTACAAATAATTTTTAAAATTAGTATTCATAGTTACGCTTATTCTTGCACGTGGAAAGAGCATACGAAGTACAAGAAATATCTGCGTCTTTTCCAGCTTCTATGGATTCAAGAAACACACTATTTAATTTTGGCCTTAGTACCTTGGATTTTGTCAGTTCCGTCAAGGTCGGTGGGTGTTTCTTCTGTTGAATCGAGTGGTTAACATTCGACGTTGACGATTCATGGCTTTGTAATGACGTTTCATCAGGTAAATAACCTTCGTTAAGATATATTTTGGATAGAAATACAGTGTTTGTGGGTTCCGTTGTTGCTCTTGTAAAAGCAATTTACATGAGTCAAATGTAAGAAGGGAGAGTATGTTGCACATGACACAATGTAATACAGGTCCTTGGTGGCAGCCGCCATGACAGTTCTTCTTGAACATGATTTTGACAGCTACGAGAGAAATTCGTTCTTCAATGTTAGAGAAGTCGTCCCTTATTTCCTTATTTTCCTTCTCCCTTCGGTACTTGTTTATCATAACATGTACAATAAGTTCTTCACGTTTATAGCGTTTTGTCATTGTGTTTATTTTCAGCGCACTTGCGTTGACCCCGCCAAAGAAAAAAGGAGTAATTCCCAAAACGTTTTTCGTGGAATCCCTATCTTTTGGTGAAGCTAGTCTAAAACCCTGCTAATTTCCGTTAAAGTAAGAGTTAGCTAAATGTTCCCTTTTTTTTATTATCTAAAACGCTTTTGCAGAGTTACATGTTTAAATTAACAAGATTTTCTTTTGCCTTTTTTTTTTCATTAAAGGGCACTATATATTCTTTGAACATACGCTGTGAAATATAGTGGTTCTGAGCTACTTTTGCGACCTGGATATCACCATTTATTATTTGCCATAAAAGTATTTCGCTTAAGACAAGTGTGTGCTTGTATTCAAATTAGTTTTCTCTCCCCAGGACAAGAAGAGGAAAATGAGAGCACTTTGAGATATAAAGGAAGTCAAAGGAACAAAGAGATACAGGACAACTTCTAAAAAGGTCAGCTTTTTGCCTTTTTTATTACAAACTGTTAGGTGTACATTTGGAGCTATTAGCATGCGTTGAACTATTTATCCTGGATTTAGCAAATATGTGCGATTCAAACTAATTCTAGTCAATGGTGAAAAAAGAACTGTAAACAATGAAGTAATCTAGTATTTTTCGGTGTCTGATCTTTCGGATCTGTCCCTTAATAAGGTGACTTTCAGTTGTTTACAGAACTACTCCTTTAATGAATGGATATGACCATAATTAACTGTTGCCTCTCTTTGCGAAACACTGTTGTGAAAGAAATTACTGATTACTATATTTCATTCAATGGCCATCAATCTGAACTACCAAAGTACCCTAGAAACGGTTTAGCATAGTCTGGTAACTACCCTTGCATTTGAATTTTTAACATTTGATGGTAAAAGTTGGAGGGAGCTCGGAAATCCTAGCGAGTTTCATAGATTTTTTTTAAACTTCTTTCCGTCAGAGTGTAAAAATTTTAGAAGGGGTATTTCTTTGGTAAGCATGGTCTACGCATGTTTCGTCTCTGCCCTGGACCTCATCTAAAAACTCAAGCCTATCTTGTCGAAGTTTAATTCCTGTTGACATCAAAATGATTGCTGCAATATAGTCTGGCTTCACTCGAAGGTTCCCAATTGTACAACTTTCAAAACAACTAATTTGCTCTAGGTCACGATCAAAAGACTCAACAAAAATGCTTTCGGAAGGTGTTATTTGGTTAAGCTAATTTTTTTTCAAAAGTGCCGTCATAGCTCATGTTCTTTCAGAGATACTTAATATATCTATCAGACTAGGGACTTATCCATCAAAGCTCAAAATTGCTAAAATTACGCCAGTATCTAAGAATGAAGATGATAATGATGCAAACAACTACAGACCTATCTCTTTACTTTCAAATTTTAATAGAGCATTCGCGACAATCAACAGATTGACGAGCTACATAAAGAAACACGAACTTTTGTATTCCTCACCGTACGGCTTTCGTAAGGGGCATTCAAGCCAACACGCAATACTGGACATTTTCAATGATATACAGACAAACATGAAACAACGATTGCTATCTTGTGGAGTATTCATTGATCTTAAAAGAGCCTTCGACACCATCGATCACGACATTTTGCTCGATAAGCTCAATTACTATGGCTTTCGTGGATTAATTAATGATTGGTACTCCTCATGTCTCAAAAATCGCACGCAAACAACACAAGAAGGCCATAATATATCAGATAAAGCTGTCATTGGATGTGGTGTTCCTCAAGGATCAATTCTTGGACCATTGCTTTTCTTGCTATATGTCAGTGATATCCGCAGATGCTCAAATAAATTTAGGTTTTACCTCTTTGCAGATGACACTAACATTTTGTATGCGGACAAAAATCTGAAAGATCTTTAGACGATAGTCAACAATGAGCTACAAAACCTTTATAACTTGTTGACAGCCAAAAAACTACCTCTTAAAACTAAAGAATCCAATTCTGTAATTTTTCATCTTTACCAAAAGCGACTTGCTTACCAACCAAAACTTTGCATGTTTGATAATGAAAATAATAAATATGTACGTCTCGAGTCTAAAAATTTGCGTAAAGTACCTGGGCGTTCTTGTTGATCAGAATCTCTCCTGGAAATACCACATCGATTCTATTGTTACAAAAACTAGTAAAAATGTTAAGCTGATTGCAAAGTTATGCCAGTCTGTACCTCGACCAATACTACCGAATATCTATAAGTCACTAATTACTTACCCTTACTTAACTTATGGTCTTGCAGCCTGGGGTCAGGTATGTAAGACTTATCTTAACAAAATTCTAATTCTTCAGAAAAGAGCTCTTCGTTTGCTATACCTCGCAGCCTGGCATGACCATGCAATTCCTTTATTTCTCGAAACTAACGTGCTTCCAATAACTTTTCTTTATTATGAGTCCGTATCAACCTTAATGCACGATATTAATAATGATAAAGCCCCAGCAAACATGTTAAATCTCTTTCAGAAAACGTGTAATATTCACTCATACAATACACGATCTTCTACGTCTGGAAAGTTCCATGTTAAAAGTTCGAGACTGAAAAAACAAAACAATTCTTTGTCTCGGCTCGGAGTAAAGCTGTGGAATATGATAACAAGTTTTTTAACGGATCTTCCAAAGAATGCTTTCAAAAAAGTTATCTGCAAATTGCTATTTGATATCTTAGAAAAAGAGGATAACCATATTCAAATCCCCGTGATTATTAAAAGAGTAGGTACATAGATACACTTGCTAAGGGTTTAAATGTCTGCCTTTCTTTTTCTGTGTTATCGTTTAGGAGTCAGTGACTCCTTGTCTTTAGACATTAGAAAATTTGTGTTATTCACGTAGTTGTCTTACGCCGTCACGATTAGCTTTCCAGCTATTTGCGGGGCAAACTATCTTCTTTTCTTTTTTTTGTACAAAGAACAGAGAATAAATTGGTTGACGTGATTCGATAAAAATCTTCGAGTAAAAGCATTAAGCACTTGAGGCTAAAACCAAATTATAACTGTGTACTTCCTATGAAATTAGTATTTGTCTCTTGTGTTCTTTTTTTGACATGATCTCGATAAATATCTCAGAGCCTCATTATTAAAGAGATGTTTGATCTCTTATGGCTAAAACTAAATCGAAATAATATCCTTCCATAAATTCATACTTGTTTCTCAAATTGCTCTTAGGCTTTATCATCAAATAATATGTTTTTTTGTATTTGCCGTGATTCAGTAAAAAAACCAGAGCCTAATTTT